TTGGAGAGTCGGGGGACCTAGTAAGTGGGTATTAAAAAATAAACTTAGAAGTACCGCAATAGGGATCATAATTGGGGATACGATACATATAACTCTATAAATTAAAGCAACTACTTACTAAGTCCCCCGACCCTCCATGTACAGTAAACCCTAAACCGCAAACCCACTAAACTCACTAAACTCCTATACCCTAAACCCTAACTCGGTTTGGGCTTTGGGGTTTAGGGTTGCTATCTAAACCCCTAATTGAACCCTGAACCCGCAGTCAAAAGTAACCGGGCTTTTTGGGGGGTTGAAGGGCCGAGGGATTGAGGTATGAACATGGTACCTTGCAGGCCCTATAGCACGATCCCTGTATGTTTTCTTATGAGACCATGCGTTCAGGTTAAAAGTGGGGAGCACAATCGCTTCTTAGGCTGCTGTATGTTCAAACAGTACCATACTGTACACATATTAATATAGTAGGGCTTCTAAAGAGCTTCCAAACACTGCGCCCTGAACCCTAAACTACGGTTGAACATATAAATCCTGCATTACCCATAACCTGAACACCCCAAAATACGCAGAACAATGGCCTTTTAGGTGTTGAGCCATTATTTTACTTGCGCTTGGGGAGTAGGTGCACCCCGGCCCCAAACCCCAAACTCCCAACCAAAGACCATACGTAGTGAAGGCACCCCTGAAGCAAATAAAGGTCCTCAAATCCCGCAGGATTCATTAAACACATTCACAGTTACTGCTTACTTCCGGGTGTTGAGCTTCTGGGTACTGCGGCATCGTACAAAGCCGCTATCGAACCCTCAGAAAAACCTTTAAGGAGGGCTCGACGGCCCCCAGAAGCATGATGGTAACCCGTAGACGGCCCGATTCTAATTCGTAAGGCCCCTGACGCTCTTAACCGAAAAACACCTAGAACCCGCGTAGTAACCGACCTGGAACCCTTGTACGCACCTGCAGGACCCATATAGCACTTTTGTACTTATAAAGACCCTAAACCCTAAACCCTAAACCCTAAACCCTAAACCCTAAACCCTAAACCCCAAAGGCCAACCTTTCAAGGGCCCACCCCCCCTCTGACACCCGCCCAGGCACATTGAGCACGACTTTGTCGGGCCTCATCGAACATGGAGGTGTAGGGGGGTTTCGGTTTTGGGCACTTCCGGCTTTAGGGTTGGAAGTTTAGGGACTTTCGGCTGAGGTCTGGAAGGATTTCGGGTTCAGGAAATCGGGCTTCAGCCAAAAAGAGGGTATGCGTGGGAATCCTAAAAGCAAGAAAACGACTGTTTAGGACTGGCCATTGAAAACCCGAAACCCAAACCGCGATAAGCCAGAACACTGGCAGGATGTTTGGCTCCTGCCGAAATACGAAAGCCGTAAACCCTAAACCCTAAAGCCCATGCGCCCCCAGCACTAAACTCTAAAGCTAAACCCTAAACCCTAAGCCCTAAACCTTAAACGACCTAAGCCCTAAACTCTAAACTCTACACGCCCTAAGCCCTGGACTCTAAGCCCCAGAACTCTAAACCCTAAAGCCCAAACCCGAAACCTGGAAGACTCTGCAGGCAAAGCGCCGAGGTCTGAATCGCCCGGCAGCCCGAACCCGATACTTTAAGGGGCCTTCATAAATTAGAATAGGGTTCCGTTAAAAGGGATCCTTTAAAGGTTTGTATAAGGGCTATACTATAAGGGCTTACTTTAAAGGCCTTAATAATTAGAATCGGATTTTGGGGCCCATTATACTATCATTATAATTATAAGAAGGAAACCCCAAATGCCAAATTAGTACTGAAGAGGCACCTTAATTGGGGTTTTAGGGTTCGGTTAGGATTTAGGGTTTGGTTTAGGGGTGGGCGTTTCTTGAGGCTCACTTCCAACATGCAGTTGGGTCGCAGTCTCATTCGCGAAGTTTTGGCGTCAAAGGCCCGGCAAAGGCCATCGCTCTTTCATACATTCGGCAGTGATCTGAGCCAAGAGCAGTTCAGGAACTGGGCCTACAGACCAGAGTGAACGGCTAGCTCAGGACTTCGCAATTTTATGGGCCTAGATAATTACCAGTACTATTTCGGGGGCTCCTTGTTTTGATTATAGTATAATGGCCCCAAAACCCTATTCTAACTATCAAGATGCCTAAACTAAACCCTTATCGTATAACCCTTATAGTAACCCTTAAAGGATCCCCTTTAAAAAGGAATCCAGTTCTAATTATTAAGGCCCCTAAACTAAACCCTTATCGTATAGCCCTTATAGCAACCCTTAAAGGATCCCCTTTAAAGGAACCCAGTTCAAATTATTAAGGCCCCTAAACTAAACCCTTATCGCAAAACCCTTATAGCAACCCTTAAAGGATCCCCTTTAAAGGAACCCAGTTCAAAAAATTAAGGCCCCTAAACTAAACCCTTATCGTATAACCTTTATAGCAACCCTTAAAGGATCCCTTTTAAAGGAACCCAATTCTAATAATTAAGGCCCCTAAACTATACCCTTATCGTATTGCCCTTATAGCTACCCTTAAAGGATCCCCTTTAAAGGAACCCAATTCTAAAAATTAAGGCCCCTAAACTAAACCCTTATCGTATAGCCCTTATAGCAACCCTTAAAGGATCCCTTTTAAAGGAACCCAATTCTAATTATTAAGGCCCCTCTATCAGGTGCTCAGGGTTGATAGCTTTCGACCCTAGGGCTTTACGGTTCAGGCTTCGAGCACTTCCGGGGTTACGAACAGGTTTAGGAGGGTTTAGGAGGTTTAGGGTTCGGGGTTTAGGGTTTAGGGTTTAGGGTTTAGGGTTTAGGGTTCGGGGTTTAGGGCTTAGGGGTTTAGGATTTCGGGTTTCGGGTTTCGGGTGAAGATCATGCGGAAGAGCTTCCATCAAAGGCTTACAGTGATGTGGACCCTCAGGTTTACATAAGGTTTTCTCATGGTTTCATGGGGCTTTAGAAGTTAAAGGTTTATGATAAACCCATGCTTCTGTGGCGGGTTTGTGGCTTAGGGCGCCGGGCTTAGGTTCGAGACGAGTCTGATTACGGGCTTTAGGGCTTTACTGCGGGCTCTCTTTGGGGAGGAGTTTAGGGTTTAGGATTTAGAGCTTAGGGTTTAGGGTTTGGGGTTTTGCGGAGGATCAAGTATCACAGTATCAGATCCAGGGCACATGCTTGTCTTTTCTTGCACCGGCAGAGATACTTCAGTTGGAGCAGGGTTCGGGGGTGGAATGTAGTTCAGGTTCCCCGGTTCAGGGTTTAGGTTTGGGGTTAAGGGTTTTCCCCACTAGCACCTCAGGAGTAATAAGCGTAGCCTCTTTCCTACAACTTGGTTTTCATAAAAGGAACCCAAGAAGAAAAGGGGCAAGAGGGTAGCTACTGGGGAGCCTAGAAGCATCGGCACATGCTTGCAACTTCATGTTTCCGGTCGAGGGTCTGGGCATTGAGGGCTTACAGTTTAGGGTTTCGGTTTAGGGTTTAGGGTTTAGGGTTACGGTCATGGTGGATGGTCTCGGATCCATCTCACTTGTGGTTAGGCTGACTCGCTTTCCCGCGCATCTCTCCAACGAGAAAAGCAATCTGCGAAGGCATATGGGTAGTTCTCTAAATTAGGGTCCCTTTTAGGGTCCTTTTTATAAGGGTGCGGTACAGTACTGTATTGGGGACCCAAAAAGGGACCCTAATTTAGAGAACTACCCATATTTTAAGCTAGTATTTAGGAGAGCATATGATTATGAAGTACTCGGACTCGGAAGGATTGTAGGACCAGGCTCCTCATCCCGCTTTGGCAGGGCAGAGCTAGCAGGAACATTTGTATCGCAGTAGTTTAGGGTGTAGGGCTTCGGGTTTATGGATGTTTTGGGGAACCTGGAGAATTCCAGACCTACGCCAATCCGACTGGAATCTAGTTTCAATCAGGCAAGAAACCGTTCCTTCACCAGTCCAGTATGTACACCCTCCAGAGTGGTCAGGCAGTCATGGATTTCACCTGCATAGTGCCGTCTGATGACATGCTTGTACGGCGGAAGGTTGGTACATTCGAGCAACATAGCTTTAGTACCAGGGAAGCGGTCTAAAGCTTCAGCTGCCAATTGTTCCATTTCAATCTCTGCACGCTCGAAGTCGAGGTGGGCCAAATCTTGGGAGATTACTTCATAAAGGTGCATGGACTTGTCCAATCCGACTACCGGACCTGCAAACCCATCGAGGGCAGTGCTGTAAGCAGGCGACCCAAGTATTTCGGCATCGAAGGTGAGTATCATGATTTCTTCGTCAGGAAAACGCGAACGTAAACCCGGCAAAGCGACCAACGATGAGCTGATGAACGCCTTCTCTGTCTTTGCAGCCAGCGCCTGCTGAAAATAAGCAAGGAAGCCACATGACGTGCTGACGACCTTCGCCTCGGCAGCTGCAAGAGCAGATACGAATCCTGAGATATCAAGGGCTTCTGGATCAGCATTCACCTGGGATGCTCCCTGAAAGCCCAAATCGAACGCACATCTCTGAAAAAAGTACTCTTCTTTCTAGTACTAGGGAAATCGAGCAAAAATTCTGAAGCTGGACCCTGTCGCAACTTTGGCCACTTGAGCTTTGGGAATGATCTGTGTGTGCATGGGCAGCAAGTATGTCTCTGGGCAGGCGATATCTCCCGGTACACGTGGGAAACGCGTGTCAAGCTGTAGCACCACCAGCACAGGGGCCATGGCTGCTGTTCGAAAAACCCTACACCCTCAGCCCTTAGGCCCTTAAGCCCTAAACCCTAAACCCAAACGCAAATCTCCATCAGAGGTAGGATAAAAACCTTACAGCCCTAAGCCCTTAGGGCCTTAAACCCTAAACCCAAACACTAAGCCCTTGAAGCCCTAAACCCTTGACTCAAAACCTTGGGTCCTTGAGGGCACGATGTACCCCGTCAAGACGATGACACCTACGCAAATCTTGGACTCTGCCTCAACTGAATCAATATAAGGGCCTGAATAATTAAAATAGGGTGTTGAGGGTTCCTTATTAGAATACTAGTATACTATACTGAATCAATATAAGGGCCTTAATAATTAGAATAGGGTGTTGCAGATTCCTTGTTAGAATAATAGTATACTATACCCACAAACCCTATTCTAATTATTAAGGCCCCGGGATCTGATTCTGCATGGCTTTGAATAGACTTGGACAGAGTCTAACTCGCAGATCGACCTGTCACAAACCATTTAGGGTTTATTTAGGGTCTAGGGTTTATTTAGGGTTTAGGGTTTATACTTATAAGTGCTTAGGGATTCCAAGCACAGCATGAAATAGCTTTGCCTTGAACCAGCCAGACGGTGCGCAGAAGACAGGGGTTTGCCTGATTTGAACCATCTCCCCTTGTAGTCGGATGTACGAACTTCCAAACCCTAGTCGAATCACTCAGGGCCCATATTCCAGGGGCAAGCCAGAAAATCCTTCAAACCCTGCTTTACAGTCTTGCGGTCCGCAAAAAGGAAAAGGGCTAACTGAACTGCTTGAAGTATGGCTGTGAGATGCTGGAACTACCTCCATCATGCCAAGGTAGGGGTAGGTAGGGCAAGACTTCACGGACGCCACAATCCTACAAAGCATGACGGCCTGACATCATCAAAGGCGAAAAATGCCTCGAAACCAGACTTTAATTGCCTACTAGCCCATTCATGTGATCGGAAGTACAAGAACACTGAGAACGATTTTCAGAAGCTCAATACTACCCAGAATTGGCCCATGCAACACTCACTACTGGCATGACAGTGCTTTTGTTATGCACCATGAACAAGCATGAACAAACTCAGTCGTGAAGGTTGAGGATTGTTCGAAGTCGCGACTCCAATTCGGTTCGTTGTTTGTACTGCTTGTTCCGTCAACAATCTCAAGAAGGCCCATAGCTTGGAACGGTCATTAGGTGCTGGACATTCCCAAAGTGCTACTACCTGAATAAATATAAATATCCCAAATCAGTACTGCTGCTTGGAACTCTTGGGTCCAAACAAACATGGATCTGAAAAACTTGACCTGGCAAATCGACTGAAACAATTCTTGCGAACTGGTGCGCTCCTTGCACATTCTGGATGCATATCCTTCTAGAGACAGGTTTGCTTGCTTGTGTTCCAAGCAAATAAGCTCCGTGTGCTTGCCAAACCCCCCCCCCCCCCCCCCCNNCCCCCCCCCCCCCCTCCCCCGCCTGCACAAAGGTCAAAAGTCTCTTATTTGGTGCCGCCTTCCCTGCTGTCTTCGGTGCTCTTACGCTTCCGCCGATGCTGTTCTGATCGAAGCCTGTCGTCCTTGTCAATGACACACTGCCACTCCCTCAGCAGTCGCGACAGCAACGTGACCCGCCGCTCCTGTGTGACGTGGGCCCGCCTCTGCCTGGAAGTGATCTTGGGCTGCTTCTGCCTCCAACGGCGCGGATCCTCCCTGGCCATAGCTTTCCGCTCCAAATGCCGATGCAAGGCTTGGCGGTAGTCTGCGTTGACCCTGTACATTCGTTGGAGGCGCTGCCGCACCTTGGTGAGCTGCATGCCAAGTGAACTGCAGATGTTCAGGTACATCTTCTGGAACTGCAGCCACTGCTCCCGCAGAGCCTGGGGGTCAAGGTGCGCCCAAGCCCGAGATCTCTTTCGCTGGAAGAAGGGGCCCAGGAGCTGTCGATGGTCTGCTAGTGCCTTGAAAGAGTGGCACCGAGGTGTGCACAAGGTTTCTCGGCCGATCCAGTAAGCATGGCGGAAGTGGAGGCTGAGGTTCAGCTGCAGCTCGTGCAATTCCTTCCCTTGCTCCTTGGCCGCAAGGCAAAGTGCGTTCTCCATGCGGGACACGAGGTTATCTCCAAGCTGGATACGCTCCTTCATGCTGGTCAGAATGACCAGGTAGTCCAATGCAGTCGGCAAGTCACACTTGCGGGAAGTTACAACAACGCCGTCAATTCCTACACAGGCCGTGTACGCAGTCAAGCCGCTCGGATACTTCTCTGCACCCAATCCCCGCACCTTGCTTCTTCCACGCGGTTTCGCCTTGATGGGGTACCTTCTAGCCGGGAGGTCAGGTAAAGCAAGGTGTACCCCGAATTGCTCGTCCCTGGGTCTTGAGTCGCTCTTCAAGACCGCCTCGTGAGGCAAAGCTGCACAGGGGTCCACGCTTTCACGGTCTCTGGTCTCACCTGCAGCAGGCCCAGGCATTGAAGACATCCACTTTTCCAAGAGAAGCCGCTGTTTCTGGCTGAAGTGCTCGCAGATCACCTGCCGGCGGGTCTCACGAGACAGCCGGCCAAGAAGTCGCTGAATCTTCGCAAGCCGAGACCGACTCGACGGCTGAGGCTTAGGCATGTGCGGGGGGTTTGACCGAGTCTTATCGGAGTCCTTGGTCTGCCTGCGCGGTTGGCGCTTCTGCTTCTTGTGCCTTTTCTCGGCGAAGGAATCCTTCCTATTTTGGCTCGCTGGTTCCTTAGGAGAAACCAACCATGCATCATATTGTTCTCTCCTCTGCCTCGCCACCAGGGTCTCAAAGGCCTGGTACACGCGATGGAAAGCCTCCTTTGTACCGCCTTTGTCCGGATGGACCTCAAGAGCCCTCTGCTTGAAGGCCAGGCGGATGTCTTCCAACGAAGCATTCTGTTGAAGTCCCAGGACGTCATAGAAGGACATGGGAGTTTAAGTAAAAAGCTTGTGAATAAATGCTGGGCTGCAGGGTGCTCATGCTGCAACGGCATACGCGAAAGAGGGAACCCTGCTATACACTGCTTCAATATGCTCGAAGTCTGCTGAGGCTGAAATGGGCCGAATGAATATTCACATCGCAGCAAGACAGGATTGAAGCGTTTGAGCTTTTCGACGACATTGCCTTATAAAGTTCAAGCATGGCAGTTTCAAGCAGAAGATTGGCCTGGAGGAAGGCACATCTAGTCAGCGCAAAAACAGATCAGTTTAACCATCCAATTCCTACCCTAGTCTAGTCCAGATTCACTCAATCCGAAATTCGAAACCATTCCCTTTTGAGTCTTCCGGCTCAGGGTCCCTAAACCCAGATTGTGACTCCCCCTTAAAACACGCCCACATCTGAATCTGTAGGGTGTAGCAGAGCAGCAGCAGAGATCGCGGTAGCGGCAGGCAGCAGCTTTATCGTTAACTCCAACCATGTCCAACCGACAAAGCTACATGTGATCGTCTGACATTAGTATACCCACATATATATGCATGTATTTTGTTCTATCCGGTATGAGAATAAATTGTATATATATATATATGCATATTTCATCTGTATAGTTATATGCACCTACATCTACAGATTAATGTATTTACCATCTGGCGCTTTACAGAAGAATGGTGCCAGTAGTGAATATGCACTATCTAAGTATACAGCATCATCATCACCATCGCAACATGCGCCTTGCAAGAGAATCGGGAACCCCCACCTATACCCCAAACCCCGATACTCCTGACCAGGGAGAACCAAACAAAACTGCCCTAATGCAAAGCACAGTTACCCTAGTTCCCAATAATAGGGTACCCTTTACTCTACTATTCGGATTGAATAATATGGAAAGCCCCAAAACAAAGAGGGTTCAACGGTAAGACTGGGAGACTGGACGCCCATTCTGCACAGAACGCAGTTGCCCTCAACCAGGCCTCCAAAACAATTCGCTCTAATCGCTTAGCGTAGGGTTTAGGGTTTAGGGCTTTAGTTACTAAAGTTAGAGGACGTTAAGCATCGGGCTTTGAGGGAAAACAACATACCTTTATACTACGGAGCGCTATGGAATAGTATTGCAAATTATTCGGCCGATTCTGTTCGCTGCGCTCACAGGGCTCAAGCGCTTGCCTAGAAGATCCCCACGTCCGGTATCAAACTGATGCATGAGCCCTGAACTGAATGCCAAACTTAAACCCTTGCAGGAAGAAACTTGTTTTTCATTCCTTGGCGATAAGGCCGGGACTCGCATATCGGGCCTCGATAAATAGATTAAATAGGCTTCCATTTGTGGGGGTGTTACAGCCTTTGATCGGGTGACCCTACGCGAGCAGTGTTCCCTAGGAGTGTGAGCCACCCCAACCCAAAACCCTGTACCCTAGGGCTGAATCTCAGGCTCTCGCCCTACGGTTGATGGAGACAATCCTGCATGACCTTATATACCTAAACTATGGGATTTATGGTACTATACTATATTTGGGTCATGCAGATTTTTGTCCATCAACAGTATGGCTTGGGATTGAAGATAATGCCAGGGCAAGTTGTTGTGCCATGAAGAGGTTGACGGAAGGTCGCCTCACCACCGCGCTGAGCGCCGGGCAGGTTGCGGATCGTTGCTGACGCGATCCAGCCAGGAGTTGAGGGGATCCACCTATGATCAGACTTAAAGGATCATGGGATTTAGTAGCTAGGTTCATAAGTTGAATACGGTAATTGTATGGATGGTACAAAGGATTGATTCATTTTTGAATTAAGTAAGCATTCTGCATAAAAGTTTGGGGAATTGCAGACCGCATGAGAGATCCCTTCCAGAGGTCCTTCCAGGATTCACCCCGTCTTGCTGGATAGGTTTGAGCTTCGAAACACCTAGGAGTGACTTGGGCCAGGATGGGGAAGCCGAAGCCCGTGAACCCTGAACCTGGGCCAACCAAAACCCTACACCGAAATCCTAATCCGGGGGGGTTTATCGGGCTTACCCCAACCCTGCAGGCATAGCCGGATTTTGCCAGATTGGAGCAGGGGGACGGTGAGGGTGTTGATTGTTGTGGACAGTTTTGCTGGTAAAGGCCTTTCAAAAAAGCTTAGGGTTCAGAATTCAGGGTGCAGGTCTCAAGGGATTTCAGACTTCTACATCTGGATGCAGGAATAGGGTTTAGGGTTTAGGGTTTGGGCACCAGTCAATGGGATCCCGTACCGAAGTACTCGGGCACCTCGAGACACGACCAGGCCACTCCATAATCTGCAAAATCTGAACGTAAAAGCTGACCAAGGACCCACTAGCCCGGAGTGACCATACATACTGCCAATATGGAATTACATAACTCCCCTACGATGGTTTTCGGGACCAAATTCCATTATGGTAGTGTATATGGACCCTCTAGCTAGTTCAGTGCCAGGACCCGATAGGCTCGCTAAACTCAAAAGGCAAACCGGAAGCATAGGGAGAGGCACTGCACTCAAGTAGGCCGATGTTAAAAAGCAAAAACAATACATCTTCCACAACCTAAACCCTTAAACCCTAAACCCTAAACCCTCTTTATTCACCGAAGTCCACACAACCAACAGCCCAACCACCTTTAATCGAGAACTCTGGACCCCCAAAGCCTAATATAGGGGCCTGAATAATTAGAACAGGGTTGCGGGGCCCACTATACTATAATTATAGTAAAGAACCCCAAAAATAGTATTGGTAATTATTTAGGCCCCTACATTACATCCAACACCAACCCCTGTAGCATCCTACAGGGACCTCATCGAACCCCCTTTGAAAAGCATTTCAGTCAACCCTGAACCATCCTCAACCCTAAAACCCAAAGCCCCTAAAGCCGAAATCCTAAAGCGTCCATCCCCAAATCCTAAACCATCATGGAGCCCAGACTCTTCCTAAACTGTTCAATCCCCTAGCCATCGGCATCGCGAGTGTCTGCTATAACTTTTATTTTTTGGTTTTGGTTTTGGTTTAGGGTTTACGGTTCAAAGTGTGTAAGGTGCTGGAATTCCTGCAACAGATCGCCGTTCTCGTTGTGTGCCGCGATCGACGTGATGAAGCTTTCTTCAATCGTACGGGCACTTTCAGCTGCGACTTCGTTTACGTGCCTCTTGCGAGTGTGCTTCTTGCTCCACTGTAAATGCTCTGATGGTCCAGCTGTGGCTGGTCCAGCTCATTATCAAATGCGGGGGCCTACTATAAGATATATTAAGATTTTGCAAAATTTATACTGTGATTCGAACGGTAACCTCCATTTTTGGGTCGTACCTCGCGACGAACGACACCCTGGACATACAAGTGATTAACATAAGTAATATTGCCTGACCTATAACCCTAGCTACTAAGTCCCATGGCCCCTTATGTAAATTTTAATCAGGCAAACTCTAAGCACTGAGGTTGGAGGGCGTGGGCCGTTTTGGTGGAGGGCTACACCCGAAATGCTACACGCTACATGCCCAAAACGGAAATCTCGTTTTCTGCACGTCTTGGGTTGGACAAAGGCTTTTTGCAAGGTTGCCAAGTATCTCCGCGGCAACAAACATATGCTTGTTCCTAGTATGCATGCACTTTCAGCAAAAAGAGTTCTAATAGAAAGATAGTAATCCTAACAAAAAACAACAGGAATAATACTATTATTAAATAATAAAAATCATAATGAAACAGCAAGATTCGAATTAATAACAATAGTGATACGAATATTGACAATCAATGTAAAAAAAAGTGCTATTAATTATTATTTTGATATTACTACAATGCCGCGGAAACTGTAGCCCTGACCTAGCCTTAAGCCCCTCAAGGAACCCTTGCGACATTGTAGAATCACCAAAGAAGGGACTCGTGAATATAGTATAGAAACCCCGACAAAACCAACCTAAATGTGTAGAGTTCTTTGGGACTAGGTTTTAGGGGTTTAGGGGCTTAGGGTTTAGGGTCCACGGACCCTTGTAGTATCGAACCCTTTGTAGACGTCTGAGAACCAGTCCGGCAAGAAGTACCCTCGCTCTCGAAGGATGGTCAGCCTCGCTATGTTAGGCCAGGCTCTTTTTCTTTTCAAGACGGTTTAGGGTTTAGGTGGGTTCAGGGTTTAGGGTTTAGGCACAAATTCATCAATCCAGGAATGTCTGTTGAATTGTACGAAGTACGAAGTGTCGTAAAGAGGAGCCATAGGGACTTCTAGGCGTGCTATCATGACTTTGACACTTTCTTTCGGTTCAGTGCCATTGCAGACCCCGGGTTTATCAACCCACCTCCCTCACCAAAGTTCACAGTAGGAAAGTCATCTTACCGTCATGAAATAGAAGGACGTTGTCAAAGGACGACAGACGGTTTTCAGGCACATCAACATAGCGCAGAACAAGGACTACAGGGGGAACTCTCTTATCTAGTGAACCCTAAACCCTAAACCCTAAACCCTAAACCCCCAGCCGAGACGGAAGGATCCAGTGGCGCACAGCCGATCCCAGAAAGCCAGGAACCCTGCCAGGACTTCAAGTACCCTCGAACTTTAGGGTTTAGGGTTTAGGGTTTAGGGTTTAGGGTTTAGGGTTTCCCTCGAACAGAGCCCGGAGTCTACACCCTAAACCCTAAACCCTTTAACAGAGCCCTTAGCCAAAACCCTAAACCCAAAGCCCTAAATCCTAAACCCTAAACCCTTTAACAGAGCCCGTAGTCCGTAACAGTGGGTCTTGAACTAGACTGGTTGGTTGGTGAAGCATAGACCCCAATATTTTGGAGGAGACCAAACCCTACATACTTTTAAATACGGTTGATGATATAAATCCTTCATTACCCAGAATAAGGAAAATATGCCATAATTCCCGTAGTTTAGGGTCCTAAAGGTAGTGGAGGATTTATATCATCAACAGGAGGAGTCAAGATTAAGGGACTCCTTGCGGATATAGACCCTCTCAATAAGGTCTCTTTTAAAAGAGCAAGAAGTAGGGTTCAGAAGGGTCCCCTTTAAGGGGT